TATGATTAAGGTGAAAGTTTATAGAGCAAGTTCATTTTCTACATAGTAGTTCCTACATGTTTTGTTTCGTGACATTCTTCCCAGTACTTACCTCTTCCCTGAGTCCTTCCCTCCTATGCTCCCCCACCCTCCCAGCTGTCTCCCAGTGCAAACACTGCCCTTCTGTTCTCGTACAATTGATTGCTCCAAGGAGTGTGTCTACCTGATATAAATTTTCACCCCATGTGACTATCTGTTGTTTGGCTGGAAGCCACAGGTGTCAGTTCAGTTCCAGACCCGAAGGGTAACTAGGGGTCTTACTAAGCTCTATCAGACTGCTAAACCTGGTCCTTTTTTTTATGATTTTGAGTTTTGTTCCATATTGTTCTCCCACTCTATCCAGGATCTCCCGCACTGACCCTCAGTGGTAGCTGGGCACCATCTAGTTCTTCTGGTTTCATGGTCCTGGCCGTACTGCCCCCTGCCTAGACATACATACCTGGTCATTCAGCCTATCCACCCATCTATCCACCCGTAGATCAATGCTTGCCATCACTGACAATACATGCAAAAGGGTTCATCTTTGTTGCCTGTACCTCCCAGGTACCTCTCTATGTCTTCTTCTTCCTCAGTGCCACCATGTTGATCACTTATTTTTAGTACATTTCCCTTCCCTTCACCCAAATCAATACTGGTCTCTTCCTGTCTAACAGTGTTCCTTCCCCTTCCCTCCCTGGTAACCAACAAAGAAAGTTTCCTTCCATATATAAATCTTTCCTTGATTTTTTACAATAGTGAACTAATGTAATAATTGTCATTCTGTGATTGACTTATTTCACTCAGCATAGTGTTCTCCAAGTTCATCCACATTATGTGGTGTTTTGCAGATTTTATATTATTCTTTAGTGTTGCATAGTATTCCACTGTGTGTATGTACCATTGTTTGGCTATCCATTTTTCTGTTGATGGGCACTTAGGTTGTTTTCATCTCTTTGCTATTGTGAATTGTGGTGTGATGAACATTGTTGTGCATATATCTCTTCTTGTCCTGGCTCTCATTTCTTTAGGATATATACCTTGTAATGGGAGTGCTGGATCAAACGGTATATCTAATAACAACTTTTTAAGCAATCGTCATACTGTTTTCTACAGTGGTTGTATCATTTTACAGTCCTACCAGCAGTGTATGAGAGTCTCAATCTCTTCATATCCTCACTAGCATTTGTTATTTTCTGTGTTGTTGAACTTTTCTATTAGTGCTGGGGTGAGATAGTATCTCATTGTTGTTTTGATTTGCATCTCTCTGATGGCTAATGATTGTGAGCATTTCTTCATGTGTTTGTTAGACACCTGAATATCTTGTTTGGTGAAGTGTCTATTCATGTCTTAATGCCCATTTTTTAATTGGATGGTTTGTCTTTTTGTTTTGAGGTGTTAGAGTTTTCTATACATTTTAAAAATAAGTCCTTCGTCAGATATGCCATTGCCAAATATTTTTTCCCAATCTGCAGGTTCTCTTTTTACTCTTTTGGAGAAGTCTTTTGAAGCATATAAAAATTTAATTTTTAGAATGTCCTGCTCATCTAGTTTATCTTCTGTTTGTGCATTGCCTCAAGTTTCTGATAGATATGGTTTGTGTACCACATTTTGACAAATACTGCCTTCCATGATCTGATTATATTTATGAAATACATTTTCAGTTCAAGGAGAAATTTCCTTTGACACATTTGAATCTCAGTTTGTTGCTAACAACTGTTAACTATCTCTATTGTGCTAGTGTTAAGTAATATAAAATCCTTGTAACAGTATTATCTTTGCCTCCTGGGAGTTTATATGAAAGTGTTGATTAATGTAGGCCTCTCTAGGTTGCTTATCTCATTCAAAACTCAAAGCTCAAACTAATTGCCACTGAGTCAATTATAACTCATAGTGAACCCTTTTGGATTTCCAAGGTAATAAATCTTTACAGAAGTAAATTACCCCATCTTCCTACAGCAGAGTAACTGGTGAGTTTGAACTGCCAACCTTCTGGTTAGCAGTCAAATGCCTTAGGCACTGTGTCACCAGAGCTTATCTCATTATTGCATGAATTTATGTCTATTTTGGGTGTTCCCTTTTTGTTACTTCTGGACATTCTTCTTGAGCCCATATAATCTGGTAAGTTTTTTTCTCTTTCCTAGTCAAATGGAAGCCTGGTAGCATAGTGCCTAAGGCACTTGACTGCTAACCAGAAGGCTGGTGGTTCAAACCCACCAGCCACTCCTCGGAAGGAAGGTTGGGCATTCCTACTTCCGTAGTGATACTGCCTTGGAAACCCAAGGAGGGGTCACTATGAGTCGGGTCTGACTTGATTGTACATAACAACAACAACAACAATCAATCTAATTGAAGTTCCACAATGCAGGAAGTTTATTGAATGTGTACTATTTGTCAGATGCTGTGTGAGTACACAGCTATAGATGTGAACTTGGAAATATCAAGTAGGGCTTTTTAAAGGAGTTCTGGTGACATAGTACCTAAGGCATTTGACTGCTAACCAGAAGGTTGGTGGTTCAAACCCCCCAACCACTCCATGGAAGGAAGACCAGGCAATCTACTTCCATAAAGATCTACCACCTCAGAAACCCAATGGGAGTCGCTATGAGTCAGAATCGCCTTGATGGCAGTGAGTTTGGTGTTTGGTTTTGGAGAGCTTTTTATGTTTGAGTTGTGAATTGCCCTTAGATCTGACAATAATATGTTGAAATTTTTTCGTAGATAATGAAACAGATGAATAACTTTCCCAAGCTTCTCTTACATTAGAGTTGGGAGTTACACAGATTTGTAGATGCATAGTTTGGTAAATTTATTTAATGGTAAAATATTATGAGTTATTTCCTTATGAGGAAATAGTATGAGACATTGGATATGAGAACTAAAAGTGAGAGATGAATAAAATCTCATGCATAAATAATGACCCATAAAATACAAATTAACTCTTTAGGGAAATATAAACCTAATGAATTTCTCATTAAAAATTTTATTTAAAATAATTTTCTGTGATAGGCTACTTATTTGATAGTTCTTAAGTGTGTACCAAGGAGCCCTGGTGGTTATGTGCTTGGTTGCTAAGCCAAAGGTTGGTAGTTTGAACCCACCAGCTGTTCCATGGAGAAAGATGTGACAGTCTGTTTAGTAAAGATTTACAGACTTACAGAAACCTATGGGGCAGTTTTAGTTTATCCTATAGAGTTGCGATGAGTTGGAATCTGCTTGACAGCAATGGGTTTGGTTTTGGTAAGTGTGTACCTCGTTGTTTCCTGAAAGTGCCTCCTCCATAGTTCCAGGCAGTTATATGCAAAGAATACCATACAATTTATAGCTATTTTCCTGACTTTTTAACTCACCATTCTACTTTCAAAAGCATAAACCTTTAGAGAAATAGAAGTACCAATTTTTCAGGAAAAGATGGGGATTTCTGTCTAATTAATGTAACCTGATACCCAACCATTGTAATTAATTTCACCTACTTCTTTTTCTCTATTTTTCAAAATTTATGAAGTATATTTAATAGCCTGTCAGAGTAAATTAACCAGTGTTACTCTTGGTCAGATTATCTCAAGGAGCTTATAAATTTACTTGACAAGACCAGGGCTAAAGAAACTTGTGAATGTAATTAATGTCACTGAATTATACACTTAAAAATGGTTAAAAAAATGAATGTGTATGTATATACACAAAATGTGTATATATATATATATATATATATATATATATATATATATATATATATATATATATATATATATATATATATATATATATATATATACACAAAATAATTTTTTTAAAAGAGTAAAGAGACTTGATGTTTCAGTTAGACTGGTTAGTCTAAAACTTGGTATGTGGTTTCTTTTAGGTTTTTGGAATCTTATTAAGCATTAACCACTATGTCTTTGAGATTTTTTAAGAAAAACCGGAGATTCCAGGGTATACCATATAGTAAAATCAGTTAACTAAACCTTAATTGATTGAATCCCTTAATTAAGACTTTTTAAATATATGTGTGGAGAGAGAGTAAGAGGCAAGTGGTTGGTTCTTAAGATCATGACAAATAAATCGACAATCAGGATTTTGGTTATCAAAACAAATTCAAAGATAAAAGGCAATATCAAAGATCCATATATGAGTGGATACATATATATGGCAGTGCACTTCATCATCCATTCATCCATTCATCCACCCATCTATCCATCCAGGTGCAGTGCCGTGAACATTACAGAATGTTGACCTTTATGACTCTTTGAGATACTAATGATGAAAGAATTCATTCACCATTTTTATATTAAAGTGCAAGAATTTCTCACTTTCTTTTTTAATAGAAATAACACAAAAGTTAAGTTTCCAATTAGCTATTAGTAAACTGGAAAATCAATCAATCTAGTGATTGCGTACTGAATTTAGATCTACTAAGAATACAAAGAATATAAAGTGAGGTACATCTCTCAAGGAACTTATAAATTTAATTGGGAAGACCAGGGCTACGTATCTGGTAAGTTAAATAGTGATATAAGAAAAATCAGTAACAGAAGTTTTTCAATTAAAATTTGGCCATATAGTAGTATAATTTATGTGTGGAATGTCTCATCTTGCCCCAGATCCCTCTAGCTCCTAGTCATTTAGTGGATCTTGTTTGTGGATTATAAAGCCTTTCTTCTTTATAATTTTTGTCTCTTACTATTTTTGTAAGGCATATATCTGACTGATAGTGATAGTAAGCCAATCATGCTAATAGTGATTATGACTTCCGCATGTGATAGGATTCTTTTTTGATTGAGTATAAATGAAATATACTCTGATTATTACCTCTGTGTCCCAAGTCTTACAAAACTTAAGTCAGCCACTATAAATTGAGGATGGCTTGAAGCCTTAAAAAAAAGTTCCATAAAACTTAACTCTGATGCTAACAGGAGAAATTTAGGTTGTTTATTGTTTGGAGTTTTTTATTTGTCATCTTTAGCTAACCACTTTGCTCCAGTTAATTCTTCAACTGATTTCTATTTGCTTGATTTTTTTTTTTTAAACCATCAGCCTGTGGATTTCCCTATCAGTGTATTGAATCACAGTTGCTTGGTTATCCTATCACCCTATGATGTCACAGGAACAGTTACATTAGTGAACATGATGTTACCTCTGAATGTTTATACTTTGTTGTTGTTGTTGTTGTTAAGTGCCGTCGAGTCGTTTCCGACTCATAGCGACCCCATGCACAGCAGAACGAAACACTGCCCGATC